TTAATAAAATTATTGTAATTTATTTTTTTTCCGTTTTGAGAACTTGGGTTTCACCAACAAGAAGGGAAGACATTGGATCGCATGTGTCATCACAATTAGAATATTTACCGTCAACGGTTGTAGATGTGGAGGATCCTTTAAGGAAGTCTGAACAGGGTTTGCACTTGAGTTTCTTGGATTGGATTTTAGGTGTTCCTTTAATACTGACAAGGTCTCCAAATTTATTAGTTTCAACCTTGAAGGATGGCTTTCTAAAGTATGATTTGCATGGTGTTTCGGTGAGTGTAGCAACATAGCTTGGCCTCTCAACAATTATCTGCTTAATAAGTACATCTCCTTTCCACAACTGTGTAACATTTTCATTAGATGTCACAGACCACTCAGGCTTCTCAACTAAATGGCTTAAGACATTTTTGGTGTAGCATTCTTTAGACTTCTGACTCATTGGGATAACACACTGCTTGGGAGTTGTTTCATTCAACTTTGTCTGGATGAGAGATTGGACCGACTTTGCAATATCCTTGAGCTTCTTCTGCTTCTCTTGAATGCATTTTGTATAAACAGTCATGTCAAATGTTGGTGGCTTTGGCTTGTTGTCATTTACGGTTATCCCTTCAACAGTAAACCCAATTTGGCTGCTCTTTTTACGACAATCGATTTCAGCATTCTTCTTCTGTGCCATTTGGTCTGCATTGATTTGATTTAGGGCATTGGTGATTAGAGTAGACTGTGGACTGTTATTGGTGGAAGTAGTCATGTCACTTGCTGGTGCTGCTGGTGGCTGTTGTGGAGCATCAGCTCTTGAAAAGGCCAGAAATAAACTGTACAAGGTTAAAGAACTCATTCGATTCATGATTGTATCCAGACATTATTTTTTTTATAATTCAAATGTAATACAAATGTTTCAGAATGAACCTATTGTTTCTCGAACAAATGTTTGAAGAAGTGTTGTTTCAAATCATAGGTGTTTCATTCTGAGTTTTTACGTGGTGAAATGATTGCTGAAAGCTTTGATGAGAATTCTATTCTTGTGGTATAGAATTTAATAAGCTAAAAATGATTTTTTATGAGTATCATCATCGTTATCTCATAAATGGTTGCAACAAGATCTATTCAAGAATAGCAACTAAAGATTTCCTGGTATGAGATAGCTTATATCCTCTACTTTCTGGAGTCAATGGCTAAGTAATAATAATCATCAATAACGGTTGGTTCTAGAACATATCTAAGAGGTGTATTTTTGTTATCAAAGTTCAATAAAGTTACGTATATTGAATTAATATAGTGTTTTAAAACATCTTAAAAGTATATTATATTCAGGTCTTTTCAAATAAACAACTACTAAACAATAAAAATATTATAGATTAAGTTTCAGAACAACCAAGAGTCTTCAAAAATAAAAAAAGCTATTTCTTATTAGATTTTATTGTTTAACGCAAGCAATAGTACCACATCCATTCTGTGAAATTGTTAAATTTGGAGAGGCTGGCATCTCAACATTTCCCACAATAACTGTTGGATAGTTTACCTTATTTGTAGCATTTGAAAAGCATGATCCAAATACGTGATCTTGTCCATTGTTTGTCTGTCCAGTCTGGTTTCCAAATGTAGCTGGCTGTGCTGGACATTGAATGGAATTTTGATCAACACCCATAATTGGAGTTGGGGAAGTAGGTGGCTGCTGCACTAGTCCAATATGTGGTTGCTGAGGCTGAGGAGGTTGAGAGACGACTTCTACCGGAGGAAGAGGAGGAGTTTGTGTTGTCTTCTCCTCGGGTTTTGGCTGATTAGGAATTTGGCTACCTTCTCCAGCTGGTGTGCAATTCATGGTAGTAGTTAAGTTGCAAGACTTCTGTGGTTCATTTTGTTGCTGAATTACCGGTGCAAACTGAACAGGGGTACCAACTTGCTGTAAAGGAGGTGATGTTTGCTGAGGTTGACCAACTTGATAGTTCGAGACATCATTGCCATTACCTTGCTGAGGAAGTGGTAGGCATGCCCCATATCCTGGAACGACATTGGTACCACCTGGAATTAATTGAATTGGTTGATTAGTAGCTGGAGAAGTAGCACAATTACTTCCATTTTGTAGCAATGTGGACAAATCACTAGTTGGATTACCTGTAGACCCTGCATTTCCACATGGGCTGGAGCATACATCTGCTCTAATGATAGAAATGGCAGTGAAGAGTGTTATAAGCTTTTTACTGAACATATTTATCCTGTCAAATTTTGTTTTTATGGAAATCTTGAAACATTACGTTTCACTTTATTTACAACAAACCAATAAATTACTAAGCTTGGCCATAAAACAAAATAGTTTATAAAAACCGTATTTGAAACAAAAAAGATTGTTTATGGATCATAACACAACGTCACAAAAAGTAGCTGTAGGTTTTGAAATTAGAAACTTGTTACTTTCAGGCTTCAATGAGTAAACAAGGTATTTGGAATAATTCAGCATATCCTATATGATCATGTAATATCTTGGTTGTATATTATACAAGATGTAAATAATATATTTCAACGAGAGGTATGGTGCTGTTTAATATAGGCTATTTCAAAGAGTCAGAATTCTCAAAGCTTGATTTATTAGAAAATAAATGGATCCAGTTGTGCACTACTTTCTTCCTGCTTAGATGATGAGTTAGATCTCATGGTATTAAGAATCTCTAGGTCATCCATAACTTCTAAGGGCATATTTGATTTGAGATAGAAATATGTTTTCTCTTCGTTGATGTCGCAGTGGATTTCTGAGTCTGTGTTGGAATGGATAATCATAAATGGAAGATAAAGCCTCTGATCCTCTGGGCAATTTCCCAGAAGAGCATTTCTTCTGGTTATAAAGTGAAGAGAATCTCTCATAGACTGAAGCTTATTTCTCTCTATTCTCTTCTTCTTAATATCGTCCTTTGATTCTATAATATAATACTTCTTTCCTCTTTTACCAATAACATTCACTGCTCGCATAACATTCAAAACGTCGTATATTCTGCGGACTTTGGTTTCAAGGTTTTTAGTGGAAATTCTATCGACAATTTGCTGGTATGTACATTCTTTTTCGTCTTTAAATATTGTGTATACCGATTCGGTAATGAACTTCATTCCCTCCTTTTTTATATCTAGCTCGAGTAGTTCAGACTCGCAGTGACTCATGGGACGGTTAATAGATGTAAAAGTAAAAAGTTTTTAAAAAAATCGAAAAAATACAAGTTATTGAGTGTTTAAAGTCGTGAAATATTCTCTATTCTGGTGAAAAGTAACCAACTTGGCTTCTTAATATGCCAAAAACCCTCACCAATCGATTATCAAAAATTAATTTATTAATAAAGCCATTTACCCAAAAAACTAAAAATTGTATGATTGAAATTAGTATTATTTTAGAAACATTTATTGATTATATGGAATTAGTTAGTAGATGCTATTGAATAGTGTGCTTTCGACCAATCAGCGAAATAATATTTGCTTAATGTAGTTTAACTTGAATATCTTATCAAGTAATTTACAAAGAACCGTTTGTTAATTCGAAACAAATTTATTAAGAACACTTTTGAGTATAAATAACAATGATTTTTAAATTCTACTTGTTCGGACTTTAATTCCGGGGATATCTGGATTTATTTACTGTAATCATGAATAGCATTGTACTCTACATTTCTAGAGGAAGCATATATCATTAATCCCTTACTACCATAATTAATAAGAGTTTAAAAATAAGATTTATTGGAAAAACAGATGGGGATTTAAGGGCTCAGCAACAATGTTTTCATCAAGTTTCTCTTTGACTTCAATTTCTAACCCTGTTGTCCTTTGGATATAGTCTTTTAACTCTAGGATAACTTCTAATTCGTTGAACGAAATCTCCTTGTACTTCTCTGGGGAACTCAAATAGTCCATACAGAAAATCATTCCTTTTTTTTGGTTGATATTGTTTCTACTCATAATTTCTGAAACTATTCGAATAACTTGTTTCTTTAAATCACTGTTTGACGAGGATATTGACATTCTGGACAAGTGATTCTCCAATTGCTCCTTATGAACAATTTTGTCAATTTCCTTAATACATTCTTCCTTCCAATCAGCATACTTCTGGCTCACTGTTATTCTAACTTTTGAATAGTTCTTATTCATTAGTTTTGTACAAAGAGATCTCACATATTCTAAAGAATCAATATATTTGGTTGTAGAAATAACAATGTCCGTTGACATTGTAGAACAAGAGTTTGTATGTCCAGAATTCAAATGTTTTGGAACAACATAGTCGAAAATTCCAAAAGATTGTGGCAGATGCTTAGATGCTCCACTAACCCCCATCAGATATCTCACCAAGCTTGGTATAATTGGATACATAAGTTGAATGATAGATGAGTAGGCATATTGAATCAAACTCTTATTGTCACCACCCAAACCATCATACAATTCAATAAGATGAAGATTCTCATAAAATGCATATTTCAGGACATCTCTATAAACCATCTGCTCATGCGCATCGATTGAAAATAAAATATTTTTGTATAATAGATGGAGGAAAGCCAAATCAGTCAGAGATGTTGGTTCTCTATAATCATAAGCAATCTTTTTGCCAAAAATTTCTTCCACAGATTTAGTAAATGTATATAGTTTAAGAACAAATGAGTTTGCATTAGACTCTAAAAAATTTGCATCCTCATTTGTATCTCCTGCTGCAGCTAGGCACAATCTAGTAGAGCTAGTACCAAACTTCTTCAATGCATCATCTACTGTTAAAAAGTTACCAGAGCTCTTACTCATTTTTGCTGAATTTAACATTAGATGCCCATTGGTAAATATGCGTCTGGGCCAGTTCTCCTCAGGGAATAGTGCCACATGATTCATTATGAAAAATAGTAGATGGTTTGGAATTAAATCCTTTCCAGAAACACGTAAATCCACTGGATAAAAATGTTTAAAGGCATTTCTGCATTGAATCAGAATGGTTTCAAAACTATCATTCCATTTTTGAGCTGATGGTCTGGTTTTTCTCAACTTTTCTAATGAAATATGTCCAAAAATAAATTCCCAGACATGATCACACAACAAAACACTCGGAAATATTTCATCCCTACCTTCTAAATCCTTAAATAAAAGATGCTTAAATGTATACAAAGCCATATAAATCGTAGAGTCGCTTAATGAATCAATAAGATATCTCTCATCCCAAGGCAATCGGGTTCCTAGACCAAATTGGCGACTTACTCCCCACTTGTGAATCCAATCAAGAGAATCGTACAATTTATCTTTAGTATCAGATGAAGCATATAAAGCATCGATACAGTCTTTTGTAGATCCTTTCCAATCAGGGTTATCATAATCTATAAACCACTGATCAAGAAGACTAACAACACAAATGCCTCCCGATCTGGAAATAACTTTAGATTCTGGAATGAACAATTTTACAAAATTAATACTCGATATCAACCGTGTAGATTCATTCTGAATGGCCTTGACTGTGTTAAACTCATTAATTAACTCCATATTGACACTTTTATCTTTCCTTATACCTCCATCATGCTTCAGTTTTGCTGGGATTTCGAAATCTATTAATTCCATTCCTTCCAAATTGATAAGTTCATCTGTATTTTCAATAAAATCAACTTGATATTGCAGTGAATTGTACAGCTCTGTTTCAATACCATACTTTTTATCCTCAATTGTGAAAGAAGTCCACTTTGCATTCTTAAAGGCTACAATTGTAGGATTGGAGGAAATAGTGGACGGATCCTTAACCCTAATTAGGTATATAATCCCACCATATTTAAGCTTGTAGCATATTGTCTCAACTGGCTTGACACCTTCTCCTTCTCGTCTATCGTGATCCAGACAAGCCTGCTGGTCAACCGGGCAAAATATCGAATATCTCTTACCAAATGTTATCAGTCCAAGACTTTTCAATCTGTTGAACTGAAATCGAACAAATGAATCATAGTATGGGTTTATTTCTGTGGTGATAAAGGATCTACGCCAATCTATATTGGCATCAAACTTTAAGAGTGAATTCTTACACAGAGGTGGAAAGGTACGACACCAATGTAAAGGATCTACAAATGAACAGATGCACTCATCGATGTTCTTATTTCCATTCCCTTTACATTTGTCACAACCTCGACTCATACCCAACGACTCCAATATATTAATCACTGAAACATCAACATGTTTGCCCTGTAATTCTTCATCTAGCTTCTGAGCTGAGGCTGAAATTGGCATTCCAGTACAGTGGAATGAAAATGGAAAAAGAACATTAAATCCTTGCAATTCTTTAAAATAAGAAAAGAAATCACTTTTTGAAATTGAGTATAAATGGCCCAAATGTAGTTTTCCATTCATATAAGGATATGGAAAAGTAATAAAATACTTTGGCCTGTCAGAAATTTCAACAAACTTTTGATGATAAATCTCCTTGGAGTTTAGATAGTGTAACTTGGTATTTTGAATCTTTTCAGTGCCCGAATCTATCCTATCCTTACTTTCTTCTGCTGAACGATCTTCAACTAACATTGAGGGGATAAAATTTTAAAATATTCTATGAAATATATTTTCTTATAAAAATAACTACTGGCGAAAGTAATATATGGCATATACTTTGTATATATTGTGATACAAATTCAGTATACTCTATACATGTTCTGTTAAAATGCCAGATGATAGGTAAATAGGTCAATAGCAACAGCTTTGTATAGAAATAGTATCCATGATTTTTTTTACTCTCTGTTGTTATTAATACAATGGGGATAAAGGATTTTTTATGGAACTATATCTAAAAATTTATTGAAAAGTACCTAACCATCCATATTTCTCTGTTTTGTTATAAAAGCCAATATCATCTTAAATGAATTACAAAAGATCATCGAGTTCTGCCAATTCATCATCTATTTCTTCAATTTTATACTTTTTAACCAATTCTGGATCAATATCACTATGATTGTGAACTATATCGCTTTGAGTATCATCACTAATATATTTATGATCTGTTTCAAGAATAATTCCTTTAGAACTTATTTCATTACTACTAATATCATTATTGTTGACAGAAACTATATTCTTGGAGTGTATAGGCTCAGATTTAACATTATATGCATTTTTTGAATCCATAGTATCTGGCAAACCTTTATTAATTGTCAAATCGATACTGTCAGTTAGATGGTTGAGAAATCCATTTTTCGAATCTAGAAATTCTTCTGAAGCTTCAGTAGAGCATCGCTCTGGCTGCTTATCGATGGTATCCGGAGTGTCATTGACTGTATATATCTTTCTTTTAATGGGATTGCTTAAAGCCTCAGAATTTAATTCTTCATTAGCCTCATTCTCCAAATGGAATACATTGGGGTTACTCGTTTCTATATTTGATACTAAGGAGCCAGTGAAAACTTCCAAACTATTGTGTAACTCCAACGGCTCATTAATCCCAGACCCATTGTTTGGCTCATTACTATCCAAACCTGTGTATTCTCCATTATTCAAAACACCATGACAAGGAATAGATCGAGCCTTGCTCTGTTTAATTTCTTGATTATGCTCATCCAGTATGTCTTTTTTTATCAATTCTTCATCGTTTTGCTTAATTCTTTTGTGAATTTCTTCAACAACTTTTTCCAATTCCTGTGCACTTTCAACTTCAAGCATCATTTGCTTCAATTGGTTAATGGAATCTTTTTGTTGATTTGAATAATCTATTTTTTTGTCTAATCCTGATCTTGGAGAATTAACTATTTCATTTGTTCTATCCATCGGGCCCATTGACTTGTGCTCGTTCAAAATCTCCTTTTTGGCTTTCTTCTCGGCTATTGCTTTATGAACCTCTTCCAAATCAACTACTTCAAGTTGCTTACTTCTTTCGTTTTTTTCACGTCGTATATTCGATAATTTCTTAACTTTTGCCTCCTTCCATTCATCTTTTTTTGAATCCTTGTGTCTAAATTCGCAGAACTCCTTGGTACATCCGCCCTTGTCCTCCCAGTAGCATTGATCCGACTGTCTCTCTTTCTGTAAATGGTATGTCGAGTGACGCATAGGACAATCTTCTCTACAAGCTCCACTGTGATTCCATTCTTCACAGAGAATATTACACTGCTTAGACAGTGGATTATGACGATAAGTACAAGTAGGACCACGTTTACAAACTGAATAAAGAAAATAATAACAATCTGCAGTTTCCACGGGCATAAATAGGGGATGACTAAAAAGTATTTTTCACAAAGATAGTCAAGAAATGGAAATACTACTTTATTTCATACTGTGTAGCATAGGTTCAGCTTGTAATGAAAACACATTATTGTGCTTGATAGTCTTACTAATGATACTATATTTATGCATTGTATGTGATTAAAATTTACTAATAGATTCTATTCAATACTATAGAAATTCAAAACTTCCAACGTAAAAGTGCTTATATAGGACATCCCTGCATTATAAGGTAGTTTGACTTAAATTTAATGAAATGAATAATTTAAACACTTTTATATGGTAATTAAAAGTTGATATCAGAGAATATGAGCAATATTACTAGTTCATCATAAATTTGTTCTTATTAAATTTCATTTGCAAAAATCTCATGACCTAAATGTTCCATACAAATTACCCATTGAATTAAAAAAACTTAATAAAAGGTGAGAGACTTTGGATTTGTATCTAACTCCACCATAATAAGAAGCTGGATTATTATCTTACAAATTAGTAAAAGTAGTTGGAGAATCGTATTATGGAAACATAGTAATGGAACTGTTCAAAACCAAAAGAACTGTTTTTTCGCACAAATATTAAAATGGAACATCATCGAAAGTGTTTCTAGTTTTTATTCAAAATTCACTTCTAGCCTTTGCTTCACTCCATGCATTAAAACTATCTAGTTGATAAATCTTTTTATTGGTAAAATGTATAATTTTTGAAAATTTTGGCAAAAGTGATATATTATGAACGATCATTATCACAGTTACGCCAGATTTGTTCAGCATTGTCAAATTATCTACCAATTCCATTTCAGAGTCCCTATCAAGTGCTGATGTTGGCTCATCAAGTACCATTATTGGAGCTCCCTTAATCACGGCCCTCATAAAATTTATACGTTGTCTCTGGCCACCGCTTAGAAATTTACCATTTTCACCCGTCCATGTTTCATATCCATTTTGAAGTTGCGAAAAAAATGTATGGTAGTTGTATTTCTTGCACAGTCGATATATTTCCTCTGGACTGGGCTTGTTTTGGGAAAATGCCAGGTTATTAAAAACAGAATCGTTGAAAATATGGCTATCTTGAGGAACATAAGAAATCACTTCTCTAAGTGATTGTATCTTGAAATCTTCAATTGGAGTTCCGTCTATTCTGAATTCTCCCTCAGTTTTCGAAAATCTCAAGATTGATTTCACAAAAGACGATTTCCCTGTCCCATTCTGGCCAACTATAGCTACTAAATCACCCTTGTTAATTGTTACATTAATATTTGTTTGAATTATAGTGTTGCCAGCATATAAAGCTACATCTTGTAAAGTGATTTTGTCGTTAAAAGTGACCATGTAATTGTCGGATGGCAAGGTTTCAGCATTAGTGTCGTCTATTTTATTGATGGTATCGTTGGTACTAATTGATTTCTGTATCGTCTCTCCCTTAAATCCACTTCTACGACTTCTTTTGATCCAATCTCCATAAGAGGTTTTCTTAATGATATCAAATAGTTTGTCTCGAATATCTGTGAAGTTGGTTCTATATTTCATATATATGGCATTGTAAGCACTTACCTGCTCCAAGTCAAACATACATCTATTGGGCGTGGTAATTATAAAATATAACACAATAAGATGTGGAGCTATTGTAGTTATTTTCTGGAGAACCTTTAGAAATTCCTTGATAAAGTTATATTGGTGTGTTTGACGTGTAACGTTTTTTAAGGATCTTCTATACTTTGTTGTCTCGACAGATTCTTTGTTAAAAGACTTTATAACGTCAAAGTTGTTTAGAATATCAGTCAGAATAAATATCTTTGAATTAAACATGTTCAAAATGGCCTGCTCATTTTTGTCGATATACCTTCCAATTACAAACCCAAAAATACTGGCAAGTGTTAGACCCGTTAAAAGAACTGTTGCAGTGAAATAGTTGCACAACTTCGATAGTTTGTATGTGATGATCATCCAAAAGATAATTAGATCTGGTATCTTGCATACTAAGATAATTGTTGCCTCTGCTAGAGTATCAGAGCCCCGGATAATAGATTCCTGTATCTTTCCGGTTCCGGTGAGATGGAATTCATTATTGTCGTATTCCATAGTGCTAGAAACTGCATCGTTTAAATAGTCTCGATTGTATTTTATCTCCAGAAACTCAGATAAAAATTTACCAAATCCCGATATCAAATAGTGCTTGAAAAGAGATATAGATAACCTCCTTAGTGGTCCTAGTTTATCTGCATTATCAAATCGAATCGCATCAACAGCATCGCATCCTTGCATTACCAAAATCATGGATAGGCGACTATCAAGTATCGAAATTATCAAACCAGTTCCAATTAATATCAAATAGCTCTTCTGTTTTACAGTAGTTGCAAAGATATAGCTCAAAATCAATTTCTTAGACTGTATACTCATTCAATGGGGAATAAGATTTTTTTTTTTTAAATGGAAAAATATTTTCGAAAGCAGTTGGAGAATCTCGATATGCAATAGAATTCAAGTGGAGTTTGTGGTAATTGAAATATAGACATTGGTGACTGTTAAATTATGTTTATTGATAATTTATATTTTTAAGGAGCTAAAAAGGAATTTAATCAAAATTTTTAAGTATAAAAGAGTTATTAAAACAAATGGATGATTTACTATTGACAGAAAATAATCCAGCCACAGATCTAAAATCATTGGAAGATTTGTTTGTTGTTAGAATTATAATATAAACATCAGAAACTGTTCATGCAGAAGACAATTTCTCAAGAAAGGTTAACTATTTAGATTAAAAATTTTATAAAAATTTGTTAGGCCCATTAACTATTTAATCTAATGGACTCGCATGAAAATTCAATATTGTAACAAGTGCTCTTAAACATTTCTTTTCCACAATTGAAACCTTCATTTTAGTAGGAGACTTAATTAAATACTTTATTCAATCTTTAAATTCAAAATATAATTAGTTCCTCCCTTAATCACTTCAAATCTTCCAATTCTAGACTCCTTTGATACAGCAACTAATACTTGACTTCCTGCTTTACAAAATGCTATGGGCATTCCTACAACCTCTAATTTATCAACAATATTCATGGATTTATCCAATATATTTATAAGGTATATCATACCAATGGATCCCACCAAAACTGTTGAAGAATCCAAAATACAAAAGGAAATCGGTTTGGATTCGATTTTAAGCAAGCATAGTAGCCTATCATCTTTAAAGACTTCCAAAATCCCATTCTCAGATCCAACAACGAAAATATTTCTATCAACAAAGGATATTACCAGTGGAAATCCCTTAAAATTAACGATCGACTCTTTGTTGTCATGCAATGGTGTGATCTTTCCCTGTAAACTATTTTCTGCGATTGTAACCAGTTTTTCTAAGTTGGCTGAAAAATCAACAATATTTGATTTATGACAGAAATATGCTTTTTTCAAAATGAATTTTTCACCAAGCTCTAAAATTTTTCTAGAGTTTGCACACAAAATATCGCCTGATATTGATTTTTGCAACTTAATGATTTCATTGCTTCCGGTATTGATTTTTTTTACAACCTTATGATCTTCATTTATTCCCAAAATACGGCCGTCTTGAAATCCACAGTATAAGATGCTTTCATCGAATGCAAATTCGAGAGTGTTAATTTTTGAGGTGAAAACAACAGACTTTGTACCGCCAGGGGTAAGATATATTAGCTTGTTCGATTTTGTTGAGATATATGTTCGTCCAAAAGCTGTCTCTATATCGGTTATGGGAAACTTAATACAATGCTTATCTTGTGGAGTAATTTTTTTGAAAATCATTTTTAACGGTTTAAAACTATCATTCTAATTTAGTCACGTTGTACAAACTTTTGATAATTCCGACGATGACAATCTTTAAATATCTAGTTAGATTCATAGAATTTTTACCAAAAAATGGGCCTAAAATGGCAAAACCCCAGAAGGCAGCTGTGCCAATAAAACAAAAATCAGCTAAGGATCTGAAAAAAGAGCTGGAGGCCAAATTATTTGGTGAAAAGAATAAGACTAAAAAGAAGGAAATTCAAACCATGATTAAAAAGCTTGATTTGGAAATGGAATTGGAAAAAAAGTCGAAGCAGGCCAAAGAGGATGCTAAGAAGGTAGAGGTTAAGCAGCTTATTCCAGTTGGGGTAGATCCTAAGACAGTTCCATGCATAAACCATCAAAATAAAATTTGCTCACTTGGAGACAAATGCCAATTTGCCCATGACATTATAAGAAAAGAGGTGAAAAGGCATGAAATAGAAAGCGAAGAGCCTAAGGTTAAGCTAGTGTGTAGATTTCTAATTGATGCATTAAATTCAGGTGAATATATGCCAAGTTGGACATGCCCCAACCCGAGCTGTAGGGATATTCATAAGTTAATTGAGCTAGGCTCTAATAAGGATGCTGAGGTTTCTTTGGAAGAATACATTGAGCTACAAAGACAAACTATGACGAACATAAAACTAACACCGGTGACAGAAGAATCCTTTGGTATTTGGAAAGAGAAGAAGCTAAAAGAGGAAGAAAAGCATGCATTGAGAGTGGCAGCACTTTCATTGAATGCTAAGGGCATTGATTTGTTCAAATCTAGACCTGAAATATTTGACGATGATGAAGAGGCGGTTGATGGTGACGATATAGACTATCACCATAGAAGCTATGAATATTCTGAGGAGAGTGAAGTAGAAAATTCGAGCATTTAAAACTACAATAAAATATTTAATTAAATAGAACAGTAAAAATGAGTGAGTTTTGCTTATCATTTTGAGAATTTTGGATGATAAACTTTTCCAGCTATTTTAATCTATTAAATTGAAATTGTTAAAGCATGTCACTCAGTCATATAAGGGATTTTTGGCAATATTAACTCTACTTCCGCTATATTTACATTACACCATTTGTGCAGTGATTCATTACCACTGCTATGGTTTTATACTATACATAATGTTGTCTTCTACTAATCCCATCTATAGTCTTGTAGAAGTAGAGCTTTAAACCATATGAAATAATACCATTTCCAGACCATATTGGTATATATTTATGTAATAAAGTATACCATTCTCTTGAATAATGCATCCCCTTTCTTTGAAAAATATTTGTCCCCTTAAATGTCAACCCCAACGGCCAGAAGACTTGTAAAGGATATGAATGTAATAAATAATTTGTCTAAAGACACTAGTATTTTTACTATGCCGCTTGAAAATGATCTTTTCACCTGGGTCGCTGTTCTTTATGGCCCAAAAAATACACCATTTGAAAACGGCATTTTTTCGTTAGTTCTGTCATTTACTGAACAATATCCACAGAGTCCTCCGGAAGTTAGCTTTTTGTCCAAGATGTTTCATCCGAATGTATATGAAAATGGTGATTTGTGTCTGGATATTTTAAAGAATAAGTGGTCTCCGTCATATGATGTTTTGGGAATACTTCTCAGCATTCAGAGTCTTCTTAACGACCCCAATACAGACAGCCCGGCAAATCCAGAAGCAGCAACACTTTTTAACAAAAATAAAGTAGAGTATGAGAAAAGAGTTAAAATCACTGTAGAAATGAGCTGGGATGATATAGAAAACGAGTTGGCCAAAATTGGGTCTTGAAATCTGCAATACAATAATGTTCAATAAAGATATTTCTATTTAATTTATCTACAGATCTCTTCCCAGTAATTGCTGATATTAATATTCAATAAAGACCAAGGACTTGCTAAAATTCCTATGAATTCTTTCCTGTAGACCTATAATTTACTAATTTATTTTAATAAGTTGCCGAAAGCTTCGAAAGTACATGGATTTTGATTAATATAATATTTTACATCTTCACGGACATGCTTGCACTCTAAAATACTCATATATTCCTTTAACGCATCTAAGTAGAACAGTAGCATGCTGCATTTCATACGATTTGATGTGTTTGAATTTCTACCTCTACCACGCTCAATCATTCCATCCATAACACAAAACAAGAGCTCTGCCTTTGCAGTTAAGGAATATTCAATATAATTATTTTTTAAGATTGTTAAATCAACAAATGCCTGGGGTAATGGAAAAAGTAAATCATAGTCCAGCAACTCGAGAATATCCATTTCTCTGTATAAAATATTCTCGGTGCTACAACTATTGTCGGTTACTAAGGAATATGTCGAAACTGGTCGAGTTGAAGTTTCTTCTATTTTGGCTGCAATAAACAGAGAAGTTATTCCGATAAGTTGATATTCATCTAGAGAAAATCCTTGCTTATCTGTGTATGTATCTACAATAAAGGTGGCAAGTGTAAAGGTTTGATGAGTATACCTGAACTCATTGGTCACCTCATATATCCATCTAAACAATTTCATACGATGTGCTGTTTTATGTATTGTTATCCTGATATTTTTTCGTGTGATGTTCTTCCCATGGAGATTTGTTATATCTTGAAATGGTGTCTTCATTGTGGCAAAAAAGTTTGTACTATTTATAGAATTTTTGGAGGGATTATTATAATTAAAATAAGCATAAAGTATTCTCAAAACAGTTATCGTATATTGAACTAACCATGACCATTATGTTAATGTGGATATTTAAATTTCTGTAGGCCTATTGTCGATATATGCTGCTGGCTTTCATTCGGTTTGTTTAAAAATATTTATAATACAACAATATGTTTAAATCAACAGTTTATTTGAAAATAATTGAGAGTATTCACATTCGAAGTTAAAATATGGATATAATATTTTGTATTCTTAATATTCTATACATTAAATTAAGTATCAATAGTCTAAAAATAGTACAATTTATTATTTCAATTATTTTTGGTATATTCGAAACCAAGTACCATTGTATGATATTGCTTGTACTGACAAAAATTTATTTCCCGAGTGGTTATGATTTGATAATATTTCAAAAAGGTTGTCATAAATGTACCATTTTATCAATGAAAAATTGAGAAGCTGTAAAGCATAGATGAGTTTACGAAAGCTATTTTATTGTATTACAAGGATTTTTTCTTCTATAATTGTTTTTTTACAACCCAATATGAGTTCTAACGAATATATTTTATGTAAGACTAAAAATAGTAACCTAAGCAGGAAGAATAAGGGAAATGCAATTTCACTTGAGGATAGAATGATTCTAAAATCATTCCTTTTAGAATCATTCTCAAAGTCTGTGAAATGCTCCACAGTAAAAAATACATCAGAAAATATAAAAGCTATAGGCATATTTGCAAAATCAGTGGGAAATAACAAATACCAAGAAGTTATAAGAAAATATTTGAAGAAGAAAATCAAATTAGAATTCTTCAAACGATCCCAGGAAATAGATTTGAGGATCAGAAAATATACAGTGCTAAGCAACGCACACATTTATGTCATCAAATCCATGCAGTCGGATATTGTTGATCCGCATGAATATGGCTACAAATTTGGGTTTTTTCAGATCCAATCTTGTTTTAATGGATTATGCAACCTTTTGACAAGCTTTTCATATTTTCTAGACGGTTTTCTACCAAAAACTTCCAAGATTAACAAGTTTGTACTCTATAAACATCAAAGAGTCTTTTATTTCAAGTCAGTTATTTATAGGCTGTGTAATAATTTGATCAAATCACTGAAAAAGCCCATAAAAAATCTTATCTATCTTTCATCAATATACTATAAATACCAAATTTACTCGGATTTTATTTACTCGGTAAAATGTGGATTTAACCTGCTTGGAACTGATGACTTCTTAAACACATTCAATTCATTTCCAAATCTTTATGAACTTGGAGATGATAAAAGTGGGTTGCTCATCTTGCTGAATAAGCACATCAGTGATTCTTCAGATTCTAATATAAAGAAGTTTGTTCGTATTCTTAAGGATATTGATGATAAATACAAGCTTTTAGGAGATAGATCTCGTTATGTTTCATATTTCTCTATTTATCAAGAAAACAATGAGTTGGATGGAACATCCCAACTATTTTCAGACATTATTGATTTAAGATTAGTTGTGAAAAACTTTACGAACAAATTCAAAATGTTTGTGAATTTCTATAGAAGATGCCTAGTTAAGCTCGATATCAAATTGATAAATGTCAAAAATATTGATTTTTTAAATCCAACACAGTTTATTCATCTGACTCGTTATAATTTTGAATATCTATTTTTAGAATTTAAAAATATCAAGCTACAATCGTTTGCAAACATTATAGAAAAGAGTGCCTTTATTAGCTGTTATTTATCATTTCAAAAATCTAAGATAAACGATTCCTTTTCTGAATTGGACTGTTTATCGAGAATTTACTCCCATATCAGAGGCATAACGTTATTGCGTTGCATAGATAACTTGAACTATTCGGAACAGTTTTTAAAGATGTATATTCGAGCAGGATTTATTGAGAATATCAATGCTGCTTTTATCAAGCATTTATCCATTAAGAAAATTGGTATTCTTAAGGTTTCTGAAATGAATTCGGTGGAAATGAAGAATTTTTGCAAACTGATCTATAATGATGAAGACCATTTGTTGAACTTTGCAGGTATAGACTCTAAGCTTCATGTAGAATCACTACCTACTATACTCCATCCATTCATTCAGTTTTATTCTTTATATGTTGAGATGTCTCGATTGTTTGGCATTTCCACCTATGAAATTTGGGATAAGCAATGGAAAGGGACAATGACTGAGATACTAATGAATACACATTTCATTGAAGCCATGGCCAAATGGATTGATCTATTTTTATTAAATAAAGTTGATGTAGATGTCTTTTTGTATACAACTATGGCAAGGAATCCATCTATATGCATTAAGAATGCCAATACACACTATCAGCATATCATCGACAATCTTTCCAAGCTTCCATGCCTTTCACAAATTGAATCCGATATTTTGATGTGTGGAAATTTGGTAGAAATAAAGCCAGACGATAGAGATGCAGCTCTTAAGTTTATAGATAAGTGCAACAGAGAATTTGTCCGAAATCATGTAAAGTTATACAGGGAGTTATTTTTAGAGGGAAATAGTAAAAGTGAACTGAAGGCAGTTGAGATAAAGGCCAAAGAATTACTGTATATTCCTATTGAAGAAAGTGATCAAGAAATTTCCGATACTTCAGCATCACAGGAAATAAATGGCACATGTAATGAGAAACGAATTAGTTATTCTGGATCTGAAGAACTACCCAATAAAAAAAATATAGAATTTCTTCGTTATATGGCAATACAAAAACTAAGCCAATCAAGATTTGACCTGCCCACGTTTAAAGTTAAAGCCTTTGACACCAAGTCCGAACCTAACAAGTCTATTTTCCAAGATGTCAAAAACTTTACAGTTTTGGATATATTTTCTTTCATCTCGAAATGTATCCAGATTATGAAGGACAAGGAGTCTTTTCTCGAGAGATTACGCATACAAATGGCAAAAAGAATCTTATCTAGGCAATTTATTTACCAAAACGAAATATCCTTTCTGTCATTTTTACCAGATTCATTCAGACATAAAATGCAGAAAATGCTGGAAGAGTTTATTCATAAGAATTTGAACAAAAGGTTCTTCGTAAACCTAAATGGAGAGGACATTTCCCACTTCAATCGTACACAAGTGTCTCATTCGAATGATTTTGTAGAGAATCATTTTCCTAATCACAATTTATCTGGAAATTGGAGATATCTCTTCAACAAATATTTAATAGAAAGAAGTAAAAAGAATCCCGGTTATTCTACAGAAATAGAAAATGAGAGCATGGAAGAAAATATTTCATTTATAGAATCTAATTTGGGGCCAAATGCACTGTTTTCTGATGAAGTTGATGAAATTCCCAAGAGTAGTTGTATCGTAGGAAAACAGATAGAAGAAAGTAAAATCTTTGAATTGTTTTTCAATTGTCCAATAGCCGATAGGTTAAAGCAAAATTCACTTGAACTTGAAAATTCAAAATATAACGTCTTAAGGGATAAAAAGGTTCAGAAGATTGTTGATAGCCTCTTTTTGATGAAAATGTGTAGATGGCCTAAATTCCAATGTGCAGAATTTAATATTGCAGAACTAAGCACTGTTAAGAACTCTATTGTTCAGAATCTTCAGTTGGATGGTGTTGTGGTAACATTTAATGATTTGATGGGTAAAGCTTCAATCCAGTTATGTAATAAGATAATGAAGGTAACAATATTTCAATATGCGGTTCTAAAAATAGTAGTATCAAATGATGGTAAGATATCTGTGGGAGATTTGGAAAAAGCATTGGTAAAGTATAAAAAGGTGAATGAATCTCTAGTATCAAAAGATGCAGGTAAAAGACGCAATAATGGAACTTATACTGATAAAGTTTGTTCGGATCAATTCAATGTTCTAATTGACAAGGGACTTCTAATGGTATCTAATGGGGCATGTGTACTGAATAGACAATGCAATACAACATCTTTCATTCCAAGGGAAATATACTTGTATGAGGAGATTTCCCAGCAATCTCAAGCTCATGGTACATTTTATAATTTAAAAATTGTTAATGAAGCCAAGATAATGAGGTTTCTCAAAATCAAAAAGGAGATAACATATGGTGCATTGAAAAAAGAGTTTGATGATATTGAAGATTTGAATAACATCATTAATTCTCTATCGAGTAAAGATTTAATTGAACATCAGAAAGATAATATTGCTTATATTCCATAGGTTTCATTATTTACTACATATTATATGCTTAATGAAATAATATAA